CACCAAAAACCTGACACGGTACTCAGCCATACCTTCAGGTACTTACATCCTTACTCAAGTACGTCCATTCGCTACCCCAAGGCCTCATTCTGCCTTCTCACTCATATCCAAAATCATCCCATTCCTACACCTAAACCTCCCAGATCCCTCAATGCAGGATCTCACGTCGTGCCCCTAACAAACCTTCTCCCTATACTATTCATACGACATCACGATACGTATAAACACATCAACATCTGTCTTAAACCCCCAGGATTCTTCCTCAAAGACAACATTTAAGACAAGACTCTTAAAGACACTTACCAGGAGGCTCCAGATACCATTTGCGACCAGTCAAGGTTAGTATCCACACACCATTCCAGTCCTCTAACTTTACACTTTAGCATACTATCGAACTGGCTATACGGCACAGGCTAATGCCTTAGCCCACCCTATCAGGAAATCTGATCCCGCGAGGCCTACCACCCCCACCCCACCTCAACACGGAGGTACGGCCCCACGCCCAAATCATAGTTATAAGCCTCGCATGCCTTACTACAGGGCTCTAGTTAGGGCCTCACCTGTCACGGCCACACGTTTTGATTTCTCTTATCGTCACCGAGAGGCCAACATCCCGCCACCACGTCTGTGGCACCTACGTCATAAGCCAAATCATAGGTAGAGCCTCTCATCGCCACTTGGCATTAGCAGGGCCTCACCTATCCAGTCATTCAATAGTTAAGTTTTTCGCCTCGGCATCTAGCATTAAAGTCCAGTTCTTCAAGACACACCACTCCCCATACCCCCCCCTTCTTACCTCACTCCCCTTCTAATATATCTTTCACATAATCATTCCTTTTAGAATGTCCCAAGAACCAATTCCAACCGAAGAACTGACAGAAGAAGCACCATTCACGCCAATCAGACCCGTGTCTCCAGGCGAATCACTCACTCTTTCAACCCCCACGTCCTTGAGAGCATGGACTATTCCCAAAATCACAGCCGAGCTTAGGCTCAGGGGAATCCCCTTTCCGGCCACAGCTAGAAAGGCAGAACTTTACAGGCTGCTTACCCACCAAGTCCCCGAGCCTCGGCCGGGAACTAGCTCTCAAGGACAACCACCAAGTAACAGCACGGCCACCCAGGATACCCTGGCAGATATCTTGGCCAATCTACAGGCCCTCAATAGCAGGCTGTCTAAGGTGGAGAGCGCCATCTCCTCCTCAGGTACTAACACCGTAGTCCCAGTCTCTACCACGGCTGTACCTGCCATACCTTCATGTCCCTCTATACTCCCCCCTCCAGCACCTGGCACAGCCATCACACCTTTCGAGTCACCAGCACACTCCGTCCCAGATTCTATCAGGAAAGATATCCTTGACGGGAAGGATGTGTGTCTGGTGTCTTTACTCATAGCCTCTCAGGATGTACTCGAGAACAAGGCATACAATTATGGTGACATCTCTGTTGTGCTTAAAACGAGGGATCCCAGGCTTAATAAAAAATTGTCTATCCCACAGTTTGTGATAGCTTTCGGGATATACCGCGACGTCATTTGCACGGTGTATCCCCATAGGAGAGAAGAGCTAGATCTCTATCTCCACAAGGTAGTGGATCTAGGCATCAAGTACGGGGGCTCTTCCTTCTATGACTACCACAAGTCAGTCTCAGCGAAGGCGGCGACCCATCTCAAGCAGTTCAACATTAGAATGAACTGGGGTCAGATGGACACTGAACTTTTCTGTCGCCACTTCGCCGGACTCAGGCCCCCGGCTTGTGCCATCTGTAATTCCACATCCCACATGGCGGACTTATGTCCCGTCGAACCAGATCCCACCACCTCCACTCTCACCCCTCACCCCACGTTCACACCTCACTCCTCTTTCACCCCTCACAAGCCAGCGGGTGGTCTCCGGGATAAGCTGGGTAGGCCCATCTCCTTTTTAGGTAAAGCACAGGTGTGCAATAATTTCAACGCAGGCTCCTGCAGTTTCAGCGCCTGTAGATTATTGCACATCTGCTCCATATGTTTCAGGGCACATACCAAGACCATGTGTCCAGCCAGGTTGTCACCAAACAAATGACTAACCGACATTAATATCGACAACCTGGTTTTTTATCTAAGGTGTCACCCCAGCAGGCACTTAGTGGATTTTCTCACCACAGGTTTCTCACAAGGGTTTCACACAGGCATAATAGCCATTCCCCCAGGTACACTAGAATGTCCTAATCTCCAGTCTGCACGTTTAGACCCAGTCGCTGTAGACACTCTCATTTCCGCAGAAACCACAAACGGTTTCATGATCGGTCCTTTCACCTCTTCACCGTTTTCCTCCTGGCGCACTAACCCTATTGGTATTGCTATTCACAAATATTCTAATAAAAAACGTCTCATTATCGATTTATCGGCACCGCACTCCTCTTTTGTTCCAAGCATAAACGCACTCATTCCAGCAGACGAATTCTCTCTGCAGTACGTCACCATCGACGACGCCATACAGTCCATCATGACATCTGGTAATCGACCCTGGCTCAGCAAAACAGACATCACTAACGCCTTTAAATTACTGCCCATACACCCCTCACTCTGGCACTTACACGGTGTTAAATGGCGAGGGTATTATTACTTCTCAACACGACTCACTTTTGGTTCCCGAAGCAGCCCCAAACTTTTCGACATTTTCGCTGAGTCACTATGCTGGCTGCTTCTGAATGTCATCAGGTGTCACTCCGTTATTCACTATCTAGATGACTTTCTACTGATAGAGCCAGGGTCATCAACACCCACAGCAATCAATAGTACTACCGCACTTTTTTCCACACTTGGAGTCCCTTTGTCCCCAGCCAAAACTATAGGACCCACTACAAAGTTGACCTTTTTAGGCATAGAGCTCGATTCTGTCAAACTCAGAGCTAGCCTTCCACACGACAAACTTTCACGATTGAGAGGGGAGATAGACACGTTCCTGCGGAATGACGTTTGCACCAGGAGAGAACTTCAGTCCCTTCTTGGATCTCTGAACTTCGCCATGCGCATCATTCCGCAGGGAAGGTCTTTTATTTCCAGACTTCTTTGCCTGCTCCATGGAGTCCCGGACTCCGGCACAGTTTCTTTGGACCCCCACGCCAAGGCTGACTTGGCTATGTGGGGGAAGTTTTTGAAAGACTGGAATGGTATCTCCATGTTTATCCCCCCTCTCTCCACCTCTTCACCCATCATCCACACGGACGCAGCAGCAGCAGCCAACACCGGTTTCGCAGCCATTTTCGGGAACCACTGGTTTAGGGGCCACTGGCCCACTGAGACGGATGCCTTGCCAGGATTCAGGGAGACCTCAACCCTATTTGAAATTTACCCCATTGTGGCGGCCGCACACACCTGGGGTCATCTCTGGTCCGGCAAGGCAGTAAAATGCTACTCAGATAACTCGGCAGCTTGCGATATTATTAACAAAGGGCGCTCATCATCCCTGACCATCATGCGGCTGATTCGCAAGTTGACCTGGCTGGCAGCATCCAATCAGTTTCACTTAGTATGTTCTCACATCCCGGGTATTCACAACACCGCCGCTGACGCTCTTTCTCGTTCTCGATTCCAGGCATTTTCTCAGGCACTCCCAGCAGCTCACCAACAGCCATCCAGGACACCACGGTTTCACGAACTAATATTGGATTAAGCACACTCTTGCTTCACGCTAGATCACTCACTCACCAAGCATTATCACCCAACACTGCTATCACTTACAATAGGGCACTTAACATATTTAACAAATTCACTGCAGAATTCGGGCTACAAGGTGACTTTTCTATCCAAACCATGGTGTCTTTTGCCTCTTTCTGCCACCTACACCTTAATCTGTCACACAACACCATTAAACTTTACCTCACCGGGGTTCAGCACCACAGCCTCACCAATTTTCCTAACAGCACCCCCTTTTTGTCTTCATACCCCATAAAAAAGGTCTTGAAAGGTATATCAAAGGTTTCACCACCACTCGCAAGCACTAGATTACCCATAGACGGGCCTATCTTCAGGTCTCTTAGCAATCTCCTTGACACAGCCCCATTTGATAGCTACACCAATATGGTGATAAAATCTGCCATATATCTCGCTTTCTACGGTTTTCTCAGACCTAGAGAGTTCACAGTGATTTGTCAAGGAGATATCGCACGATGCCTTAAAACTTCACACCTCACCAAGGTAGAGGATCACTACCTCCTCTCTATCCCTACCACTAAAACCAACCGGTCAATACATCCTACAATAATTCCTCTCTTCCCTACTGATAATGCCTGGTGTCCGGTGAAAGTTCTCGACCAACTACGGTCTACTTTTCGCACTCACCTGCCAGACTCTCCGCTCTTAACATTACAAGGGCACCCGCTTACCACGGCAAAATTGATGTCACATGTCAGAACCCTGTTATCTAAGCTCGGACACAATCCGGCTGCATTCTCCGGGCACTCCTTCCGCATAGGAGCCGCCTCAGCAGCCTCAAGCACAAACGCACCGGTCCACATCATCAAAAGGCTCGGGCGATGGAAATCCTCCATATATAACGCATATATTCCGCAACCAGAGAAAGAGCTTCGCCAAGCTTTCAGAAACTTGGTCTTGTAAAATGCAATAAAGTGTGTATTTTCTCGAATTTATCTTTTTGCCCTCTTTTATTTACAGGCCCACTCGTACGTTGGTTTCGGCACACCACAACCAACTTTGCTCACAGTTACTATCCATCACGTATTTAAATTCCGAGCACAAGTAGAAAGGCCATTAGGCCTGAATTTGTGGGAGGAGTAAGTCCCCTACTTAAGCTCCCAGCCCCTACTCACCGCTGCCGCTCAGCTGATTGTCCCCACCCACCTACACCCTGTTTTAACTACATTATCCTTGGTGGGCCCTCTTTTATTTACAGGCCCACTCGTACGTTGGTTTCGGCACACCACAACCAACTTTGCTCACAGTTACTATCCATCACGTATTTAAATTCCGAGCACAAATATATATATATATATATATATATATACACCTTTTACAAAATGTTCAATACCGTTTAGAAGAATACTCTTCTAAACGGTATTGAACATTTTGTAAAAGGTGTATATATATATATGGACTTATTATTATTTTTATATATATATATTCTATTATTTACCCATTTCTAGAGAGGTTGCTAGTAACTTCAACTGGCTAAATGCAGCACATCGAATTTTTGTTTCACATTATCTTTTAGTTAGGAATCAACATATGTACGTTTTTTGGTTTTTCTTCCTAACTTTAGATTGGAACTAATTCGATGTCTACTGCATAAAGACATTTTTGAAGGATCTGGATCTATTAGGTTAACTAATAAGAATCGATTGATTTATTTATCTTTCTCTTCCCTTTTCTTGATTTATGTAAGCGCCCATATGGGCAATAACCTCTATAGATAATAATGGTACCAAATACGATGGCACCTTATACCATCTGAATATAATTCTTTTCCCGTTGGAGTTATGCATTAAACGCTTTGTATATATAGCTTATCACTGGAACATTTTCTTACATCGAGTTAGTTCTCTGGTGACTGCTATGAGATTAGTATTCTCTAAAAACGGCATCGAATAGTACTCTGTAAAGTTATATATATATATGTATATATATATATATACATGGATTCATTATTATTATTATTATTATTATTTTTATATATATATATTTTACTATTCATTTATCTCTACAAGAGGTTGCTAGTAATTTTAACTAGCCAAATGCAGTACATCAAATTTGTGTTCCAAATTTTTTAGTTGGGGATCAACATATGTACGTCTTTTTCCTAACTTTAGATTGGAACTAATTCGATGTCCACTGCATAAGGACATAAGGATCCGGATCTACCAGGATAGTCAATATGAATTAAATACAAGATAGTTGTTAAGCTATTGATTCATTTCTATTCTTTCAATATTCAAAGGGTTAAACCACTGAACTTAGCGGCATTGTAAAAAGTTAGGAACAGAAGCTTATCTTCTGATTGGACCATTCAAAAGGTCCATTTGCATAATTTATTCGTTACACTCTTCTCCGTTTGGCGCCGGTTTTCTGACCATCTGATTGGTCTATGTGGTTAACAAGCAAACATGGGATGCATATAAACAGTGACCCAGGCGTCATTAACTTTCAGCCCCTGACGAAGGTGCACGCTAGTGGCACCGAAACGCGCGTCGGGTTTCTTCTTTTTTCCTCACTTCACAGGGCACACTGTCACATGTGCAAGGACCAACATTCTAAGTATGGTCCTGCACATTAGCACATATTAATTGTTTTATCTTCTCTTTTTTCTCCTCCTGCGCACTCTGATTGTACACTATGGGGAATTGAATCGTAACATACCTGTTTCTATATTTAGTATCACAGGCAGCCACGATCAGTCCGTCAATTTTTTCGTTTTATTTTATTTTTATGGACTGGGTACTTTGCATATGAAGGGTATTTAGACAATGAAGTCAATCCCACATATAGCTATATGAATGACAAGCCTGTTGATCAGTATTTAACAGGTTATCTTCACCCCATAGAATCTATAGAAAAACACAGCAGAATTCAAATAAACGAGGCAGCAACACTATTCTGTTGCTTTTTTGCCGAGTACCTGATACTTTGATACAAACGATGTGTATAATCAGAATGCTGTCTATGATATTTGTATCTTTATGTATTTCAGACATTGACACTAACAATATAACATTAAAGTCAGGAGTCTGATTTTGACTATAACCAACATAGACATTAGGGAGGTACAGCTATTTAAGCTGTGGAGGTTTATGTACTGATCGTTTTTTGACCTTTTTCTGTTATATTTACCTATTATTATTTTTGAATGTTGATATTATTTATTCACAAAATTTCCAGACACCATTTACACATCTGAGGGGTTTCTTCAGATCTGTGAATTTTTCCAATATGAAACAAAAGGAAAATGGTAAACAAACGGGTGTGGCAACATAAAACAAACATTTAAAGGAAACCTGGACACTGGGAATTCCAGGGACGGATTACAGGAATGAACCCAGAAAAACCCAGCATAAAGAAAACCAGACATAGAATCAAAAACCAAAAAACCAAGAAAAACTAAACAAGAATTGTAAAAAGAGTACTGGATACCAGAAGCCATCATCAGACCGATCCGCAGAACAAAGCATGATGTGACATCGAGTTAATGAAAAACTTGAGGAATGTTTATTCTGAGGGAACAGCATGCCCCTTATAAAGCAAAATTACATCATATGCTTTGTCAGAGATAACATGAAATAATACATCAATAATTGGTTAGGGGTTAAGTGGTTCATCTATTGCTCTTCCTACCGGGTGTGATGTCACTGGTATCTTGGAGGTCTCCCCCAGCTTCCAGCGGCATCTTGTTAGTGAGGGTGTTAGTCGATGACAAAGGGAAACTCCCTAGCGGCCATTTTAGGTAAATCGCATATATAGTTGAATAATGCTGATTGAAGGTATGCTGAGTAAATAGACATTTTACTAACATAAATTGAGTTAATATTTTTGTCCACAACACAACCATGTGTGATTTCAGGGGCATTGGGGTACATAGGATAGTTGAACACATGATTAGGTGGTCTAGTGGTCGGCTGTTGTTGTCTAGGCACTCTGGGGTGTGGACAATCTTTCCTGAAATTACCTAATTGGTTACAATTAAAGCAAGCCCTGGTCTGAGGCCTAGGTGTGTGTGTATGGTGTTGTACCTGTGTAGCTGGCATGGGATACCCTGGGGTGCTGGGGCGGGTCTGGTGGTAGGACCATATTCCAGTGCCATCTTGTTAAAGAGGGTGTTAGTCGATGTCAAAGGGAAACTCCCTAGCAGTCATTTTAGGTAAATCACATATAAGGTTGAATAATGCGGATTGTGGTTATGCTGAGTAAATAGGCATTTTATTAATATGAATTGGGTTAATATTTTTGTCCACAACAATATGTGTACCACTGTTTAAGAAAATCACTCTGAAGTGAAGGAGTTAATAATTTAACAAATGATCATCATTTGCACATGAAGTACTTTGTCAATAGTTGTTGGCACATTTCTCTTTTTGGACTTGTGGAATTCTGTTTCTTCTAAGATGAAGAACGCTCCCCAGCTAATTCTTATCTCCAAAAAACAAGTTAACAGGATGTAATGCAGTACCAAGACTTTTAATATGCTCATTCCCTTGGTAATTTTCCAAATCCCATTTGCAATTAAAATTTTCATAAAATTTTTTTAGCTGCTTTTTGCTCTTGGACAAAACATATTTCACTTAGCTTCCCAATTTATTGCTCATTTATTATTTATTTATATCTAGTAAGAATAGTCAGCTTAAAGATACAGTTATTATGAAACACACAAATTATTTGTACATTATTCACATTCCAGATGATGTGAATAACACACTAGAAGCTTCATGAGGTAATAGTCCCACATTATAACATGCTTATCATGATAAACATGCAAAGCATAACTATCAGGGGTTTTTTTGTTTGTTTTTTTACTTAATAAGCTTGAATTTCAAATATAAATAAAATAAAAAAATATATTAAATGCTTTTATGACTTTCAGAAAATGTCTGTCCATTGTTTAAGAGCATGGCATTGTAGTTCACAAACAGATAGCACCCATTATTTACGTTGTTTTTTAATATTTTCTATAAAAATAAGAATAAACAAATGGAATATGAAACCTAGCTCTGTGCAATCTAGATTTGGTGAGATAAAAAAAACAAAATTTAAAAATGTTATTACATAAATCAAACACATGGCTATCTGAGTGTAAAACAAAATATATTTTAAATTAGTTGGTTAACATGTCTACATAGCTTTTACAACAATTGCATTTTAATATGAAGATGCCTAAAAATCAGTAGAAAAAATATTTTTTGAATATTTTTTTGTGAGAAACTGCATATTTATACACATATGTTAAAAGGTAAGGTCAGGTAGCTTAAATAGGTCTATATCCTATTCTACTAATAATCACCCAAATTACAGGTTATCGTTTTTTTCTATAGAAAACCACATTTTAACATAGGATACCCAAGGGGGGCTGGATCTGTCCCCTCTAGATTTTCTTTGGTTCCTACAATGATGCATTTGAGGTCTAAAATGACTTCCAGTAAAGCATTACAATAAATGCTAAAATCAAAATAGAGAGTCAGCGCTAAGTAATGCATAAGGCAGCAACCACAAAGGGAATCCCTCAAAGTACCCTTAAAACACAACAGGAGAGAAAACAAAGAAAAAAGGCTGTGCCACACAAAATATATATAATAGGATAACAATAGTATATCCCAATAAAAAGTCTTAACTTGACAGTTCTTTCTTTAGGTCAAATGGTCTGTAATGTGCTTGGTTAGGGATAGTGCCCATGTGGGCCTTCCCCGGAAGGATCCAATAATATGCAATGACAAAAGATAGAACCAAAATAGTGCAATATATCCAATAGGGTAAAATAGAAGATAAAAAGGAAGATGGTAGTGCACTCACGTGAGTAAGAGCTATAGCTAGCTCTAGTATGGACAGCGTACAGCGGTACAATCCCCGCTTATGGGATATGGTGCAGGTGTCTTGCTTCAAAAGGTATGTTCAGCACTCAAAGAGAATAAAATAGAGACAACCAATAGTGCTCTCTGAATAAAACAATGGTGTTAAAATATATGTATATATAAAAGGTACTCACAAGGGTGGGGCAGACAAACTACCCACTGGTATAAGCGTTGGTGGTTTGATCCCCACCTAGGATTTCTTGGAATCCACAACAATAAAAATTCCAGGTAAAAAACAAAAATTATTATAGAGTGTATAAAAGATGATTGGCACAAATAAAAGTAACAAAAAGATTTTTAATGAGTAAAATACACAATATAAAATCCACAAATGTGTTTCGCCTTAAATGGCTTTCTCAATATGGAATTAGACAGTAGACAAGTAATATAATTTTTGTTTCTGTTTATTCAGCCCTAGTAGCAAAATCACTTTTGTTTCTTTTCAAGCAGCCCTAGACACACTTCCCCTGGCTGTGACTGACAGAGCCTGCATAAAAATAAAATGGTTTCGTTTTCAATCAGATGTAATGTACT